CCTGTATCAGAGAGTTGTCTGTCTTAGAGAGGTGTCTGTATTAGAGAAATGCCTGTATCTGAAAGGTATCTGTATCAGAGAGATGTCTGTATCGGAAAGTTGTCTGTATTAGAGAGGTGTCTGTATTAGAGAGGTGTCTGTATTAGAGAGGTGTCTGTATTAGAGAGGAGTTATACAAATCAAATTTGACTCATGTAAACCCAAAATATTTCAAATAGAGCAAAGAAATTTGAACGAAAAGCATTCGAGTTTGCTGTTTTGAGACCCGATCGAGGTGCTTGATTTGCAAGATGTACACGAAGCCGCCAAGGGCCCCGTCTTCGTAGTTTAAGGCTGCTTTCCATATTGTCGTAACGGTCGTAAAGATTGAGTCACGATCTTTCCCAACCACCATGAGTTTCAATAATAGTTTATCCCTGTAAACCTCATATAAATCATAAGTGTTCTCTAGTTCTAATCACTCCGCGTATTTTCAGTTCTAAAATGTTGTATTTCGGCTGACGAGAAAGATCGTGACTCAATCTTTACGACCGTTACGACCATATGGAAACCAGGCTTTATGTGAGTCAACGACCCACATAATCTCTAGCACAGAGAGGTGTCTGCATTAAGGCCCTGTCACACTATTGCGTATGAGAGAAACGTATGAGAAGCGTATGAAAATTAATTAAATAATTTTCATACGCACAAAAATCCTTTGAAATGCCAGCGTATGAGTACTGTACATCTGGCGTACCTCTAGCGTATTCAGCGTGTGCCTAGAGTATGCTTATCGTATAAAGCATACGTCCGATACGCACAGAATTTTTGAGCATGCTTAAAAAATATTTTCTGCCTCGCCGTATGCCAGCGTATGTCACCGTACGCGACCGTGCTTGAAACGTATACAACCTATGCCTAACGTACCCCTAGCGTATGTCAGCGTATACCGGCGTATGAGTGATATTTTTAATACGCTGACATACGCTAGTACGATACGCAATAGTGTGGCAGGACCTTTAGCTAGAAAAATGGGTGGGTTTTTGTAGCAGGAATTTCCGAACGCAAGTTTGTATATATATATTTTCAGACGCAACCAGGAACAGGTTGCACAGCCAGGGTCTAAACTTTGGGTGTGAGGGGGGGGGGGCAAACTTTGTATGGCATTTAGAATGTGAGCGCCAAAGGCGCAAGGAATCTAGGGGTTTCCGGAAGCATGCTCCTCCGGGACAATTTGGAATTTTTAGATTCATTAAGTCCAGGGCAAACTAGGAAACCGACTGTTGCCGAAACATTGTTTCCTGCCAATGTTTCGCCATGTTTCCCAGAGTGGGCAAACACTAGGAAACATTAGTGAGTAACATAGGGAAACATCAAATGTTTCTGAATTTGTTAGGAAACATTTTTGCTTCCCGGGAAGCAAATTTTGTTTCCGCAACAATGTTTCCAAGGGGGTGGGGGGCAAACATGGAAACATTTGAGGAAACATCGAGAATCACAAATGTTTCCGCAACAATGTTTCCTAGTTTGCCCAGGGCTTTAGAACTTATTTCTCGTATTTTAGGACGAGATTTGAAGAAAAGTTATAACCGCAAAAAGCCATTTTTAAGTCGCCTAATGATAGATATATTTGTAAAACATTGTACTGTGACGCACAAATACAACTGCAAAATCGCACGATGGCTTCGTTTTTGAAGTGGAAATTATGTTGCAATAAAAAGAATGAACTTTAAACTTTGACTGTTTCTATATGCGCGTAAATTCAAGATCACTGAATGGGCTTTCAACCCCCTGAGAAGCTGAGAATTGATAATAACAGCCTCTCTGACATAAGTCAATCGCGTTTCTTACAACTGTTCGTTGTATAGGTTTTATAAATTAAAAATATTTACAAATTTGCGTTCGACCGAAAAGTCCATCTGGTCATTATTTTCATATCGCTTCGGGGAATTGTCTTATTTAAATCTGATGCCAATTTCAAACGTTGAACTTTTCATATTCCGAGCGAGCTAACGAAACAACTGATCAGTTTATGTCATTCGCATTTATTTCTGCACATGTTAAACTTAAGAAATAACAACCACAAATTACTTTTGCAGATCGCGGCGGTTGTCTTGCCAACAAAAAACGTTCAGTATGAAGGCATCGCCGCTGAAATTCAGTTTCTAGGCTACTTTTCTCTTCACAAAAAAAACTGTCAACGGTACAGGCAAATTGCTTTTTTTAAAGCCTATATCCCCCGCCTACGACAATGACATCTTTTAACCTGTACGGGCTGGTCAAGACAATTAATATTTGTGTTTATATTGTATTTCGAGCGAAAAGCAATTAACTTGCATAATGCGAATCTGATAATGACTATTGTATGATTGTTGACTCGTTTTTCGTATTGTACATTACAGAACGGCCATCCGATCTGCCAAAACGTGTACAGTTTGTAGATCTGTGATTAAAGCAGCCATTTCGAGGCGAAAGAATTGGTTTGGATGAGCTCTGTGCAGTGGTTTTAGTGAATATCACGAAAACGCAAGCGCTTTCGTATTGAAATATATCTGGAATAAAATATACAACATATAAGGTTAGTACTAACATCTAATGCAACATATATCGCTTACTGAACTTATCATTTCGTGGAGTATTCATTTTTGCTGCGTCTTTAATCTGCGCAATATAATTTTGCGCACTTTTAACACTCTATTATTGCACAAACTTCACGAATTTGCATTGGTTTTGTCAGATGACTGATCATATAATTCCACCTCAGTCGCTTGCGAGAAGAACGCGTCCAGTTTGACTGTACCAAATACCGCCAGTTTTCTCCGAATGTTAGGTTTCCTCCTGTAATAACACTGGGTGAACAAGAGATGATTCTTACTGGACATGTAGGAGAACAGTTTAGAACTGATGGAGCGCTCCAGTATAAATAAAGTTAGTTCAGTTTAGGTTTCCTCTTGTGGTAACACTCGATCAATAACAGATGATCCTTACTGGACCCTAGAAGGAGAACTGTTTAGAACTGACAGAGCTATCCAGTGACCAGTATAAATAAAGTTAGTGTAGTTTAGGTTTCCTCCTGTAGTAACACTGGATCAGTAAGAAACGATCCTCACTGGACCTCTAGGAAGGCTGACAGTTTAGAACTGATAGAGCTATATCCAGTATAAATAAAGTTAGTTTAGTTTAGTTTAGTTTTCCTCCTGTAGTAACACTTGATCAATAAGAGATGATCCTTACTGGACCTCTAGGCAGAACAGTTTAGAACAGATAGAGCTATTGCTATCCAGTATACATAAAGTTAGTTTAGTTTAGTTTTCCTCCTGTAGTAACACTGGATCAATAAGAGATGATCCTTACTGGACCTCTAGGCAGAACAGTTTAGAACAGATAGAGCTATTGCTATCCAGTATAAATAAAGTTAGTTTAGTTTAGGTTTCCACCTGTAGTACCACTGCATCAATAAGGGATAAACCTTGCTGGACCTCTAGGAAGAACAATTTAGAACTGATAGAACTATCCAGTAGGCTATAAAAAGAGTTCGTTTAGTTCAGGTTTCCTCTTACTACAACACTGGATCAATAAGAGAAGATCCTTACTGGACCTCTAGGGAGAACAATTTAGAACTGGTAAAGCTATTTATAAATAAAGTTAGCCGGTTTAGTTTGTCCTCCTGTAGTAACACTGTATTAATAAGAGATGATCCTTACTGGATGTCTATAGGAAGAACAACTTAGAACTGATAGAGCTATCCAGTATAAATAAAGTTAGTTTAGTTCGGTTTCCTCCTGTGGTAAATCTCAAAAATACCGTTTGGATTCGATCCCCGGTGCTGTGTGTCAACTGAGCTTAAAATAATTAAATTTTTTCATTGAAAAATTAGTTGTTACACGTATCCAAGTTTCTCGACCGCAATATTAAACTTTTCCCAATGGGGGTCCAATCTAGGCAGTATTCTACAATAAATTAACGTTTTAATTGAGTTCCGTAACTGCATATAGGCATAGCATTGATTGTGGCTGAACGAATATTCTGGGCTTCATTAGTCTGATCACTCCGCATATAGTAATCTTATATCGGCTTCAGTGGCATTTATACCGACACCTGCTCTATGATTATAATCTTAGTAAAGACGGCTAGACCAATTATGCATGAATGGCTAGCTCTATCAGTTCTAAACTGTTCTCACTAGAGGTTCAATAAGGATTATCTCTTATTGATCCAGTGTTACCACATGCAGGAGGAAACCTAAACAAAACTAACGTTATTTATACTGGATAGCTGTATCAGTACTAAACTGTTCTTCCTAGAGGTCCAGTAAGAGTCATCTCTTACTGATCCAGTGTTACTACAGGAAGAAACCTAAACTAGACTAACTTTTTATACTGGACAGCTCTATCAGTTCTAAACTGTTCTTCCTAGAGTTCCAGTAAGGATCATCTCTTATTGATCCAGTGTTACCACAGGAGGAAACCTAAACAAAACTAACTTATTTATACTGGATAGCTCTATCAGTTCTAAACTGTTCTTCCTAGAGTTCCAGTAAGGATCATCTCTTATTGATCCAGTGTTACCACAGGAGGAAACCTAAACAAAACTAACTTATTTATACTGGACAGCTCTATCAGTTTCTCCCTAAACTGTTTCCCCTAGAGCCAGTAGGGTTCAGTAAGGATCATCTCTTATTGATCCAGTGTTACTACAGGAGGAAACCTAAACTAAACTAACTTTATGTATAACTGGATAGCTCTATCAGTTCTAAACTGTTCTTCCTAGAGGTCCAGTAAGGATCGTCCCTTATAGATCCAGTGTTACTACAGGAGGAAATCTAAACTAAACTAACTTTATTTTTACCGGATAGTTCTATTAGTTCTAAACTACAGGAGGAAATCTAAAACTAGCGCTATACTGTTCTACTTGTATATTAATGTTACGTGAATTATAGGATTCCTCTATCACGTAATTAAAATACTGCAGTTGATGCCATCTTCTGATACTGTCGTTTTCTAGACGTCTAACTTCACCAGATGATAAATGGTTATTTGATCGCAAGTGAAAACCATATTTCAGGTAACTTTGTTATCTGTAGCCTTTTAAGTGCATTTTATCTTGTTACATGAGAGTGAGGTGGCTTTGTGCGCGCTAATGCATATTGTGTGTTCATATGGGTTAAATGTTTGCCCGTCTGATGACTGATCGAGCTATGTCCAGTATAAATAAAATTAGTTTAGTTCAGGTTTCCTCCTGTAGTCACACTGTATCATAACTCTTACTGGACTTCTAGGAAGAACAGTTTAAAACTATACAGTATAAATGTAGTTAGTTTAGTAACTTTAGTTTAGTTTAATTTACGTTTCCTCCTGTAGTAACACTGGATCAATAAGATATGACTCTTAGTGGACCTCTAGGAAGAACAGTTCAGAATTGATAGAGCTATTCAGTATATACAAAGTTAGTTTAGTTTAGGTTTCTTCCTGCAGTGTAACACTGGATCAATAAGAGATAATCCTTAATTGCTGGACCTCAATGGAGAACAGTATAGAACTATATATAAATAAAGTTAGTTTAGTTTAGGTTTCCGTCTGTAGTAACACTGGATCAATAAGATATGATTCTTACTGGACCTCTAGGGAAAACAATTCAGGACTAATAATGCTATCCATTATAAATAAAATTAGTTTAGTTTAGGTTTCCTAAGAGATGACTCTTACTGAAGCTCTATAAGGAGAATAGTGAGCTATCCAGACTATCCAGTATAAATAAACTTAGCTTTCCTAAGCGTCTGACTGGCTTCGTTGGATGACAAATGAACATTTGATTACAAGTGGGAAGCATACATTAAGCCAAGCAATTTTCGTATCTTAAAATGATTCTTATCTTGAGCTCTGTTTACGTGTTTCGCTTTGCTGTGACCGGATAAAAGGAAATATATCTCGGTTCATGATTGAGAAAAACTACGTACTTTTCCAAGTGATAAGATTTTTAATAGAATACTTAAAGGAAACCACAAGATTTGATGAACAATATTTCAGTTCCTTAATTTATCCGCCGACACATTCATTGCATCAAACAAAGCGATATGTTTAAATCGTCCTTCAGACACGGGGCGCCTTGCTTTAGAGACGGGCCAGCCCGCCGGCTAGGCGGGGTTTCATACCCCAGCAAGATGAGATAGTAAAACTGTCTGTACCAGTGTAGGTAGTACCAATGTAGAAATGCTGTGCTGAGTCAGGTTATATTACTACCATAAAAATAAGCAGAAACTCGACGTTTCGAGCGAAGGCCCTTCGTCAAGAGTTAGTAGACAACTAACTCTTAGTACTCCGAGTAGGCTACTAACTCTTGACGAAGGGCCTTCGCTCGAAACGTCGAGTTTCTGCTTATTTTTTAAGGTAGTAATATAACCACTCAGCACAGCATTTCTAGATGAGATAGTACACTATATATACCGGATATAGGTTTCCGTAGCGGCGCGAAAAAGCACTGACCTATCTGATACGGAATGTACAACTTTCAGAAGCTGCATGAGCGAAACAACATCCCACGGCCGTTGCGATAATTCCTCTGAAAATAGCGTTCCTAATAAAATAGGTGTTTTTCACTTCGCTACGAAAAGTTATCCGATATACATTGTAAACGTAGCCTCTGTCAAGTAGGGGGAAAATTTGCATATGAACGCTTTAGCCTGGTTTCCATCTGGTCGTAATGGTCGGAAAAATAGAGTCACGATCTTTCTCAACGGCCAGTTTATAATAGTTTATACCTGTAAACCACATATACTAAATGTCTAGGCAAGAAGAACGAAGTCCATCACCATATAGCTGGAAAGAGCATCTTAAAATGAGTAAGATTGCAAAGTTTGGTTGCGAATTGCTGTATAAAATGAGAAAAATATAGCCCTTTGAAGTTCGCAAATTTTCGGTATATATTTGCATTACGCGCGGGAAAAATAACCATTTTTGAGCCGAAAGTACAAAATTTGCGAACTTCACAGGGCTATATATTCTTCATTTCAGGGACGCCGGAACGATCATAAGGCAAAGGGGGGCGGACCCACAGCAAGGGCACTTCTCTAAAGCAAAACTTGGAAATCTTCCGAAATTTTTTTTTTATCAAAAAATTTCGGCGACCTCCCCCCCCCCACCTGTCGCCCCGTTTGGTCAGTGTACCATTTTAGGGGTCAAAAATTTTTTCCGGACATACCATAAGTGAAATATAAACTGTAAATTGTCTGAATCTTATAATTTTCGTACAAAAACCATTGTTCGAAATGTGATTTATCACGGGGTTTTTTATAACTAAAGGGCACTTCTGCCCCCCTGCCCCCCCCTAGCAAAAGGCAAGGGGGGCAGCCACCCCTCCTGCCCCCCAGTTCCGGCGTCCCTGCTTCATTTTACAACATTTAGCAACCGATCTTTGCAGTTTTAACTTTTTATTCATTCTAAGCCGCTCTTTTTTAGCTGTGGTGTTGGATTTCGTTCTTATTCAGCCTTGATCAAAATTTAGTCTATAGCTCATGGATTCACCGATTGGATTTTATATGCGTTAGGCCACATAAAATAAATTCCTTGATTCTCATCACTACACTTTGAAAATGTCGAAGGGGCGGGAGGTTTATATTTTATATTTTATATTTATATAATTTAATATATATCAATAAATAAAAGTGTCACAAACTGAAATAAACATATTTCTCCACGAACAATGACTGGTCCTTGAACTGAATGCGAAGTTCCGTTAAAATGCAATTAAATTTCTTTCAAAGTTCTACTTGTTTGAAATTGGCAGTTTAAAATGGCACTAAAAACCCAATATAAAATATAAAAAACTTAACTGTCTTGAAATATTTTGTCGGGCGGTACATTTATATTGTATAACAAAATATAAAAAAAATTCACGCGGCTCTTAAAATACAGTTGGGCGGTGATGAGAATCAAGGAATTTATTTTATGTGGCCTTAACAAAAGGCATGCAAATCTCACTCAATAGTTCAGTAGCTGAGCTCATATGAACAATTCCTAATGGGGTGATAAATTTATCAATACATCTAAATGAAGGAAACGTGGGCTATACATTTAGTTAGGCCTTGACGTTCATCCGTAGCGCGTAATTTCGCCGCATTTCTTAAAATTGTGATAAAACTTGTTACCTTGACCGAACATGGTTGCGCACAGCAAGATTGTGTTCGTGTAAGCGCGTCTGAGGATTGCCACTAACATCTGCTTGTACTTTGTCGAATAACGCAAACATTTTTATAATTCTATTTTGCCTTCAAACTGCCGGTAATTATAAGATAAGGTAAGATCTGCAGACAAGTGCTAATAGAAATATGTTCATTATTATGTTTTTGCTTGCAGATGACGCGTTGTCGACACGAGTAAACAGCAAAGGTGTATTAAAGACTGTGGTTTTGCTTTCGAAAAGCGAACTGATTGTTTTCGCGGTTGGAACTGGACGGAATTTAAAGATTTGGAGCCGTTTTGGAAGCCGGTTCTTAGCACACAAGAAACGATCTTTGAACGGTGTACGTATAATTTGAGCAGGTATGTCAGATTTTTTTATTATTTTAGGGGCTGTTATTTGAGCTATTTGTTCTGTTACAGCTAGGCGATCTCGCGCAAAGGGCCACACATCTTTTGCTTCTGTGACCGGGCTTTGATTTCTGACTCGCATGAAAGAAGATCCTTGCATACTCTATACTAAACTCTGCAGGCTATCCCCGCGAGTACTCCGGTTTCATCTGTATAGTAGTAATAGGAATGGGGCTCTTACTGGATCTCTAGGGAGAACAGTTTAGAACTACCCAGTATAAATAAAGTTAGTTTAGTTTAGGTTTCCTCCTTTAGTAACACTGGATCAATAAGAGATGACTCTTACTGGATCTCTAGGGAGAACAGTTTAGAATTGTTAGAACTATCCAGTATAAATAAAGTTAGTTTAGTTTAGCTTTCCTCCTGTGGTAACACTGGGTCAATAAGACATGGTCCTTACTGGGCCTCTAGCGAGAACAATTTAGAACAGATACAGCTATCCACTATAAATAACATTAGTTTATTTCAGGTTTCCTTCTGTAGTAATACAGGATCAATGAGAGATGATCCTTACTAAACCTCTAGGAAGAACAATTTAGAACTGATAAAGCTATCCAGTATAAATAAAGTTAGTTTAGTTTAGCTTTCCTCCTGTAGTAACACTGGATCAATATAAGAGACGATCCTTACTGGACCTCTAGGGAGAATAGTTTAGAACTGATAGAGCTATCCAGTATAAATAAAGTTAGTTTAGTTCAGGTTTCCTTCTGTACTCTGTAGTAATACTGGAGACCAGTTTAGAACTAATAGAGCTATCCAGTATAAATAAAGTTTAATTAATTTTCTTATTGTCTGACAGAAACTGCTCTTTAGTATCAATTCCAGATATTTGACCTACGCCTGTTAAGCATATGTTACACTTTGAAACATATGTTGTATGCATGTCAGAATTTTATCTTCATTTAAGACCTAGCCTAGTCAAACGCCCTATCCCACCATTATCAAGTAGTTTTCTACTTGTCTGGTGTGGACATGCATTACTTCGAGGACATCACCCATGCAATATAAATAATCTACCTGAGTACAAATCCCACCATGATCAAGTAGTTTTCTACTTGTCTGGTGTGGACATCACTTGGAGAACATCATCCAATATAAATAATCTACCTGAGTACAAATCCCACCATGATCAATGAGTAGTTTTCTACTTGTCTGTTGTGGCAATCACTTGGAGAACATTATTCAATATATATATAATTTACCTGAGTACAAATCCTACCATGATCAAGTAGTTTTCTACTTGCCTGGTGTGGACATCACTTGGAGAACATTATTCAATATATATATAATTTACCTGAGTACAAATCCTACCATGATCAAGTAGTTTTCTACTTGCCTGGTGTGGACATCACTTGGAGAACATTATTCAATATATATATAATCTATCTGAGTACAAATTCCACCATGATCAAGTAGTTTTCTGCTTGCCTGGTGTGGACATCACTTGGAGAACATTATTCAATATATATATAATCTATCTGAGTACAAATTCCACCATGATCAAGTAGTTTTCTACTTGTCTGGTGTGGACGTCACTTGGAGAACATCATCCACTATATATAATCTACCTGAGTATAAATCCCACCATGATCAAGTAGTTTTCTACTTGTCTGGTGTGGACATCACTTGGAGAACATCATCCACTATAAATAATCTACCCAAGTACAAATCCCACTATGATCAAGTAGTTTTCTACTTCAGTGTCTCGTTTGAGGACATCATCCAATATATATAATCTACCTGAGTACAAATCCCACCATGATCAAGTAGTTTTCTACTTGTCTGGTGTGGACTTGACTTGAAGAACATCATCCAATATATATAATCTACCTGAGTACAAATCCCACCATGATCAAGTAGTTTTCTACTTGTCTGGTGTGGACATCACTTGGAGAACATCATCCAATATATATTATATAATTATCACAAAATTTGAAAGCGAAGACATATTTTATTATTCCGCTAATTTTCCAGAAATGGACCGTTTGTTTTGGAAAACTTTTCAACACTAATTCAAAACATTTTTCAATTACTTGGATGGCTTCATCCAAACGTCTTATCTTTAAACCATCTTGTTTCCTGGGTGAAAACTAATCAAATTATTTTAAAAACACCGGTCCTGCTTCTCAAGAAGAAATGCTTTTATTCTGAAAGCCTTATCAGGAATTTTATGAGTGCTTTGTTGAAAGATTTAAGCAGTTATCTACAGAATATCTTGGCTAAAAGATTCTCATTGGTCGGTTGAAATTATAGCTGTGCTTTTAGTGAAATATATTTCATTCACCGTGAAAGATTTATTAGGAATTGTGGAGTGGCTTGTTGAAAGCTTTCAATACAGTTATCTTAAAAGCTAGTATTGTGGTATGAAATTATAAACAGTATTTCCACTGAAATGATTTTCATTCATTATCAGGAATTTGGCGTGATTTGAAGGATATCGTCGACCAAATCTTTCGAAGGCGTTCACATTTGGTGTGTTGAAAATTACATCGGTACATTCTCTAAAACGATTTATAGTTTGAAATAAATTGTGGTTAGTCGTTTTAAAAGGATTGGTGGCACTTTGTTGATCGAAACCACGCATCCTGTCAGAAACGTGTCTCATTCGTTTTACGTCTGTTAAGTCTGAGAGGATAACTCCAAGCAAGCGAACTTTCTAGAGAATTTTATCCTGTTGTCATACAAAGCTTTGTCTTAAACGTTTTGTCTTGGCTGTTTAAAACTTAACCGTTGGGAAATTCTATAGTTAATATTCGAGATCGACAGACATTTGGTTGGCAATTTTGGACGGCTTGTCCCCTGTTAACTTACAAACATTTAGCCTTAAAAGAGCGACTTTAGCCATTTAACTGTGGTTCGCTATCATTCAGAAAGGATTGGCAACTTATTATTGGAAATCTGAAACGACTGAGTACAATTTCTTTGACTACTTTGAGACCATTATCCAGTATTAAACTTTGGCCTCTGTTGGCAAAAACCTTTAGTTCATTCAACATTAACAGCAAATTTGAACACAAATACTTTGCCATAAAATCCCAGCCTGTTCAAAGACAATGATATCCCAAAATCACTCAACGAACGACACTATCAACTCAAGCAGCCCCGTAACTTTTCTTCCAATCATGAAACCAGGTCACAACGGATCTATTACAGAGCAGTATGTGTTTCCGTACTACGCGGAGGTGTTATTCTATGTTCTTCAATGTATTCTGGTCGTTTTTGGACTGTTTGGCAACGTTTTAGTAATCCTATCAGTTCGCCGAAATCCTCATATGAAAAAATCCATTTCCAATCTGTTTATTCAAAATTTGGCAATTGCTGATATTGGAGTCTTGGCTATTTCTCATACTTTTATCTTGGGATTGGAAATCAAGAATTTTATTTGGCCATTTGGGGAGTTTTGTTGTCGGGTGATATTTCCGTTATCGGATTCATTTTACGGTGTCTCAATTTGGTGTATTGTTGCAATATCGTTTCACAGGTGAGTTTTGTGATGGTGATGTTGTTCATGATGATGATGGTAGTGATAATAGTATGATTATGGCAATGATCGCGATGATGGTGGTAGTCATGGTGATGATAATGCTGATGGTAATTGTGTTGATAATGGTGATGATGATGATGGTTGCGGTGATGGTGACAATTGTGATGATGAAGTGATAATGATGGTAGTGGTGGTGCCATCATGGTGGCGATGATGATATTGATGGTGGTCATGAGGCATGGTGGTGATGATGGTGATTTTAATTATGATGATTATGTTGATGACGATGATGATGATGAAGGTGATGATGATGAAAGTGATGATGATGGTGGTGATTTTGGTGATTATGATGATGATTATGTTGATGATGATGGTGGTGATTTTGGTGATGGTGATTATGTTGATGACGATGATGATGGTGATGATGGTGGTGATTTTAGTGATGACAATGATGATTATGTTGATGTTGATGATGGTGATGGTGATGGTGATGGTGGTGATAATGGTGGTGATTTTGGTGATGATTATGTTGATGATGATGATGATGGTGATGATGATGATGATGGTGGTGATTTTGGTGATTATGATGATGATTATGTTGATGATGACGGTGGTGATTTTGGTGATGGTGATTATGTTGATGACGATGATGATGGTGGTGATTTTGGTGATGACAATGATGATTATGTTGATGATGATGATGGTGACGGTGGTGATGATGGTGGTGATTTTGGTGATGATTATGTTGATGATGGTGGTGATGGTAGTTGATAATGGTGGTGATGATAATGGTGATGATAATGGTGCTGATGGTAGTGATGATGGTGGTTGATGATGGTGAGAATGATGGTGGTGATGATGGTAGTTGATGGTGGTGGTGGTGATAACAGTGGTGATGATAATGATAATGTTGATGATGGTGATGATGGTGATCATGTTGGTTATGATGTTGATAGTGATGATGATTATGGTAATGCTGGTAATGGTGATGATAATGGTTTAGCTGCTGTTACGTTGTTCACTATATTATTGTTAAAGATAACTAACCACCTCTCTTAAAATAAATCCTTTTCCTACTTGTTCTCGTTTCATAGATACAGAGGAATCGTTCACATAATGCACACTCAACTTTCAAGAAAAAACGCTCGCCTCATACTAGTCGCAGCTTGGCTACTGCCAATCATAGTCATCACCCTACCTCTCTGGATATTCATGAAGTTACTGCCAGGCATAAACATATGCGACGTCGCCTGGCCCAACCACGACAGCCACATAGCCTACTTCATCATACTCAACCTGCTCTTCTACGTCTTACCGTTAGCCTTGATAGTTTACTATTATCTCAGAATCCGCGTCTCTCTGAAGGCCAGCTCTGGGTTCCACAGACAAATGACGAAGTCCTCATCGCGAAGCGCTCTTCGAGACGACCTCACGAAACAAATCCAACGCAACGCGAAAGCACTACGCGTGCTCACGCCTGTGGTCGTCGTGTTCTTCGTGACCATGCTGCCGTTCACCGCGTTTCGTCTTGCGTTCGTGTTCACGAATATGGCTAACTTTCGTTACACGCGTACGCTATTTTTCGCGTCCATTATAAGCGTCCTCGCAAATTCCTCCGCAAATCCTTTGATATATACAATTGTAAGTCCAGAATTTCGGCGTTCGTTTATGCATTTTTTGGGCTTGAAAAAAGGGCTGACACGAGATGGAAATTCGACCATGCGAAGATCGATGCTGTCTCGAAAAACAAGCGAATATTTTGGCACCTTGAATAACAAGAAACACGGGCAAGAGGAAAGCTTTTAGTTTTTTGCCTCATCTAAACTGGCAATGCTATGATATAGACGGCAAGACAGCCGGCCATTTGCCATTCCGAAGTTGATGAAATGTACTGTAATTTTTGTTTTGGGGACGCGCGTCCCAAAAACAACCTTTTAATCAGTAATTTCACAATTTTCGAAAGCTTATTATTCGAAGGGTATTCATGTAAACGTCTTCAAACTTTGTACACTTACTAATTTTGAGGTGATCTTTTCAGCGATTTGGTTCATTTCGTAATTTGGGCACCTTTTAACACTCGTCCCCAGTCCACTCATCAACTTCGGAATGGCTAATTAAGCTAGGCTATTTCATTTTGAGTCGGTCATTAAGACAACAGCAGCCAAGCCCTGTGAGAAAACGGTATTATTTCATTGAGAGAAACAAGTGAGAATATACCATGTGTCGTCTTGTTAAATTAACAGACTTATTACAAATTCTTTCTATTGCTTGGTATAAAACATTATGAACGGGTATAAATAGATCAGAAAATTGAATGCAATTAGCCTTTATTACGAAGGTATAAACTAGTGTCAGCCATTTTTGGGTGCTATTTTATAAACAACATGAAAAATCTAAGCGATGTGAAAATAATTTTTCAAATATTGAACTGTAAATCGATTTATAATTAGCCATTTCCCAATCGAGGCGAGGGCTGGGTCCAGTTGATGTTTGGAGGGACGTTTGGAAGGACAACAAGTTATAGTGAGCGAGCTAAATATATATTAAAAGACGCCTTATTATAATTGTTGCGTTTCAGGCTGCACAAATAACTTTAGGAATGTAGAAAAACGTCATAGATGCCATATTCGGCATATTGTTTATTTTTGTCCATGCAAGCAAGCGACTAGACCCAGTCCTCTGCTCGATTGGGAAATGGCTAATGATTATTCCTACAACTATAGTTATAGAAAGCTTCATTTTCGTTGCTTACTAGCCCTGTTCTAAAAAAGGTTTCCACCCAAAAATGGCGGCGTGAGAAAGGCTAATGAATCTGGATGCAATTGAATATGTATTATATATAGGTCGTTGTTGTATAATAACTAATTAGATAAGCAAAATTAGAGGATAATTAAAAATAAAATGACAAAAATATGACTGTTTAATGTACGAATGTTTACCATATGCCCACCGGGCACACGACGTTGTTTCAACGTTGAAATTTGGTAGAAAAAGGTCGCGACGTCGACAACCTAATATCTACATTGCTCTGACGTTGTTCTACAAACATTGGTTCAACAGCAGCCAACAGACGTTGAATTAACGTTCATTCATGGTTAAAGTGCCACTGCGATGGAAAATTGTGCTGTCTTTTTATTGTATATTCAGAAAGTATGTCTGTAGATAAACAAAATTACCAAATATCAGCGTCCAATTCCATTTCCTTCTGCCTTTTTTTTCAACGCAAACATGCAAATTTTTCGGCCGCCATTACTGAGTTGCCAATTGACCATTTGCGTAATAGACTAAATTTTGAATTAAACAAGTCTGGACAAAAATTTCATCACAGCTTGAAGGAGCATCCAGGGTGCATTCCATGTAGAGTGCACGCCGAAGTTCCGCCGCTGGAAAATTCGCACACGCCGCCAGACTGCCAGATTTATTTAATCTATATTTTGGCAAAATTTTACGGCG